CTGTGATTCATAACCCTAAAAGAGTCACAGGCCCTCCTATGGGCAGCGCTGAGCCAGAACTGGGGAACAGAAAGTCAACCAACGTGTGAGAGCCCAAAGGAGGCCGGCTGGAGAGTTTAACACAAGGCTAACTTATGCAGGCAGTTGTGGAATTTGTCAGCTATGGGATGGAGGAAAAGGCTCCCGGGGAATGTCAGGCGTTCAGAGGCAGATGGGCACGTGGGACCTGCCACTGTGAGGGAGAGAAACTGTTTAACATACTTAAAAAGCCACTTCCAATGACAGTAAGACAAGCCAGGTGTGAAGGTGAATAAAGAGAACTCGCATTTCACTTTTACTTTATAAGGGTGTGAATTCTTCCTACCACTTCTGGGGAGTGAAGTCTCCACAACCGCCATAAAAATCACTGCTTCGTTTCCCACCAGCATCTCTTCTCAAAGGTCAGAAAGTGTGCCAGGTATTGTCCCTTGAGATTCAAATGGGGGAAAATTCTCAATAGTTGGCAGAAGGGAGAAGAAACAAGCTATATTATTGAAATAAGAGAAAAATTCCCTATTTCCTTCTTTTTCTTTCCAACATTTTAATCTCTGGTTCAAGAATCCTTAAGGAATTAGTTCACAGTTTCCAAATAGTACTTTTGGAAAATCGCCATGACAGATGAAATCCAAGATGTTTGCTAAAGGGACACTGTAATACCTCTTATTTGTTAAGTTGCCTACTGAGCAAACAGTAAGAACCCTAATAGGTCCTCACTGGTTACCCTAAGACCACTGCCTGGTGATTTATTAGAACAAATCATAGCACTATCATTTTTTTATGATCCAGGTGAACACCAAGGATAGCGTTCAACCCAAAACAGGTTTGTGAGGAGTCATTTCTGGAAATCGGTACCACCATTCACTTTGTTTTCCCTTGCAGGACAGCTCAGACCCCTAAAGACGAAAGGGGCACAGGAGACGAGGCTGTCCCAGGAGGCAGGCCTGGAGCAGCTGACAGCACGACTGCAGACATCACTGCTCGCTCACAGCCCGTATCTCGTTTAAAGGGTTTTGTAAAATGAGTCAGTATATGCGGCTAGTGCCCAGGAGTGAATGTTGGGGTGAGAATACAGATGGAGACGTGGAAACAGAGCATGGAGCTCAAAGAACACGATGGCCAACATTCGCCTTTTCTAGAAAGACGGAAGGACGTCCAGAAAGGCGAGGTGGCTTTCCAGGGCCACCTGCAAAGGGAGACTTCCATCCTGATGCTGCGACTTCAGGTCACTCTGTGCCACTGCACTCGGTCACCACTCACCCACCTCCTCCGGTGCCGAAACATGAAGCCGAATGTCCCTGTCACCTCCAGGCCTCGGGCAGGAGAGGGTCACAGTGTGGAGGCCAGCAGGGCAGGGAGCCATTCGGCATAAGGAGGGATGCTGGGAGCTGAACTGGGTGCGAGCTCGTCCCTGCTGCAAACCTACCAGCGACATCTTGTTGAACATGGCAATGGCTTCCTGAAGACGCAGTTATGAGGTTTTTACCAAGATGTTCCCTTAGCTTTTGCCTGGCGATGACACTTCATTTCATCCTACGTGACATGCCACATAGCTAAGCCGTGACACACTCACTAAACGCACGTGGTGAGCTGGAGGGGCACCTGGAGCAGAAACAAGGACGTTAGGTGAACACTAAGGCACTCTGAAGAGAACACACTCTTCCCGCAGCGGTGATGTGCCGGTGTCAGCCACCGAGTGTAACAGAGGCGCCGTTCTAACGGCAAGTGTGAATGACAGCGGCAGGGTGCACGGGACCCTCTGTCCTGTCTTCCAAACTACAACTTTTTTGTAAATCTAAACTGTTCTGAAAAGTAGTTTATTTAAAAAACAAACAATCAGCACAGCTGTGCTGCCAAGAGCTATGTGAGAAGTCCAGACACACACCTCTCAGGAAGGCATTCCAGAGTTTCCAATCCCTAAAATGTTCAAAAATCCTAAAAATTATTATGGAGAAAGGCGTTGTTGAAACAGAACTTACAGTAATAAAAGTTGCAAATAGTAACAGGTTGTACAGGTGCTTCAGGGAGAACATAGGTTGTGGGTCACACTTGAGATGGACGTGAAGGACAGAAGAAAATCTGCCCCATCGTCATAAAGCACGAAGGACCAGCACGAACACGTCAACAGGAATTACCTCGAGGGGTGACACTGGGTTTCATCTTGTTCATTTATAATCTCAGAATTTTTTATGTTAAGGAGATGTTTCTGAAATAAGGAACACATAGGCGCGAAGCAAAAAGTTTCAGTTGTAAATAAAAACATTATCACTTATTTTCCTATCTCTGAATATTAAGAAATAACTCTACAAAAGGTTGGTTTGGGGACAATTTTTGAATTCAGATACAAAGTCAGTGAGAAAGCTATGCTTGTGCAGAAGCTCTTGTTAAACAGCTTTTCTTTATAGCTCTGTGTCGACGGAAAGAGGCCACAGTGTGACTGGGCCGATCTGAACTGGACTGGCTCCCCTGAGCAAACTGGAGACTTCAGGCTGCATCCATGTGAGAAGAACAATTGCTTCAGTTCTCTGCACCCTCCACTGCATTTGTGCATCACTGTGGATGCGACAATGAATTAGGCATCGGGTATTCAGGTGGCTAAGTGACAGGAGTATGCCACAAGCAGACAGCATCAGCAGTCACAGGACACACGGCAGCAGCTCTGAGCGGGAGGGGTCCTGCCGACACTGAGCCAATCCTGTTTTGAAGTGATGCCCCAGGATTCTTAGCACATGTCCTCAGACTGTTGGAGATAGGCGATAACAACTTGTGTCTGCTGTCTTGTTTCCAGGGCAACGCTTCTCATAATGCCACGTTCTCCAAGAAGGAGGAGTGATACCCGAGGGGTTCTGAACTGAGTGCACTCTGTGCCTTGGTGCTTTAAAACAGGTTTCCCATTTCCGGAACAAGTATTGGGTATAATTGGACTTCCTGGAGAAATACCATCAGAGGGTCATGAAATGGTTCAGAATAAGCTGTAACACATCACTATTTCTGCCCAAGTCTCTGCTGTGGTGGCAATGTCAACCAAGAAATACTAGCACATAGTTTTAGTCTTTTTCAGTCTTGCATTTTATCTTAGATGGGCGGGACATGAAGGCCTCTGCCTGCGTGATGGGCTGGTACGTTGGGGCAGGGCTGCTGGCGGGCAGGAAGTCAGGCCCATCGGTCCCTCACAACACCCTAAATCCTGACAGTGTTCCCCGTTACTTCTGCAGCTCTAGTCCTGCTGTATTTTCTCTTTCTGGAATTCTCTTTATTTACGGATTGGATCTAATCAGTCAACCTCGGGGTCACATCCCTTTCCTGTCATCGTTCCCATCTCTGTTTCCTTTTCTTCTGTTGAACTGGTGGAAATTTTTTTTTGGAGGAAGGGGTGTTGTATCTTCTCCTTCTCAGTTTCTATTGTTCATTCTGACATTCCCCACAGTGTTTTAAGCCCAGTAATTGGCTTTCTCCCCCTCTGAACCCTGTCTCACCTGCCTCAGGGACGACCTCTTACAGTTTGTGGAGGAATCAGGTACCAGTTCCGCTTCGGGCAGGGTGTTCCTTGCAGGCGGGCAGCCCTTCTGGGGCCTCACCTGACCCATCCCTTCCCGCAGCTCACCTGCTGCTTTCAGGCCCCAGGGTTTTCTGCGAGCTCCTCATGGAGCAGAGCGCATGTGCCTGGTTCTGGCCCACCCCAACCGAAGCGGGCCCAGCTCCGCAGGGCCAGCTCCCCACTCCATGAGAGAGCAGTGTGGCACCAGCTCAGGGTCCAGCAGCGGCCGGCCGTGCTGGGTGGGCAGCTCCTCGCCTCCTCAGGAAAGCTCCCCAGCTCTGCCGAGTGGAGCTCTGGGCATGCCCAGCACGGACGATGGGACCACAGGGCCACCACGCCCAGAGAACGGTGTGCCAGGCCGCCTTTACCCACAGAGTCACTGAGACCCCAAGTGAATGAAAGTGTAAATTAGGGAAGAGAAACAGTTTACTAGGTCAGTCATAGACGTGTGGAAAGTTGCTTCTCATTAGGATAAGGGAGAAAAGTTCTGAAAACTGGGCATCTAAATTGCCTGATTCATCTCTAACAATATTATTAAATATTCTGAATATCTTCCACATAATCCAAAGATCCTTAGGAAAATAACATGAATTGCCCTTTGTATTTGTCAGCAAACCATTGGGCTATATATGTAACAATCTTCTGAGTATTCAGAAGCTAAAAACACTAGACAAAGAAAAACAAGACCACAAAGAGCACTGCTCACCAACTTTTAGTCCCCAAGTTGGTTCTGTTTGTGTAAAGTGAATGAATTCAAAAGAGAAAAAGAAAACATTTCCCAATGCGAGAAAAGTTAAGAGCTGAGCTGCCATCTGAGCAGTAAAACGCATCCGTTTACGGTGGGACACAGATTAAGTGAACGCTGAGACTCGGATGCCGGGGAGCCGCAGGGAGACCAGGGGCCAGCAAGCAGCTCTCGGTGGCCACAGGGACGATGGTGGCCGGACTGGGACTCGCCCTGGGTGCGCCCTGGAGCCGCCCACAGCTCTGGGAGAGCCTTCCTTTTCAAGCAGCATGTTAGGGCCTCCAGCAGACACCACGGGTCCAGACTTGTGTCCTCGGAAGTTATTTTTATCACACCGAGGAGGCTATAAAAAGCCTCCTCGTGGCTGAGGGAAGCTGTGGCCTCAGCACGAAGGCTCGCCCTTCCAGCCGTTCAAAGGTGAACATTCCACAAGCCCTTCTGGACTGACCGGATGCCAGACAGACAATCCCAAACTGTTTTCCTCATATTTAAATTTCCAACAGAAAGCAAACAAACCTACTAGGAAAAAGGTAACTGAAACACGACACCAGCAGCACCCCCTCTTTAAAACTTGCTCCTTTGTGCTCCGTGGCCTCACTGTCACCAAGGCCCCCGCCCAGCCCCCCAGCCGCCCACCCTGGCACCCCCAACTCTCACTCACCTTGTCTCCAGCACCAGTTTCTCAAGTTCAGGCTGCAGCTTGATGAGCACGCCCGCCTGTCTTAGACACCAGTAGCCATCGCCGCAGGATCAACTCATCTCCCGGCTGCAGAGCCCCTCGGCAGACGCCGCCCCTGCCCCTCTGCCCGCAGGCCTGCCAGCCATGAGGTGTCACTCAGGGTCACTTGTAAAAACTCTTATTCTTTATGAAAAGTACCTGTGAAGAAGTGTTTGGGATGAACTCATTCAGACAGGTATTTGAGATATCCATCTTTTACTAGCCTGTGTGACATCTCGGTGTGACAGTGTGTTCCCGAGAAATTTCGGGAATTAGGGCTAACTGGCTAACGTCAGAGCATGATGAACTTTTCTTTAGTAAAAGTCATTTTAAAAAGTAGAAAATTACGCTTTGAAAGATACTGTACTTGCTTCAGTTGAGGTAGATAATCATAACCAAAATTAGTATATTTTGTCTTCTTGTTGTAATATAATTACATAGAAAAAAAGGAAATCAAGATTAAAAGTCCCAGGGTGTGTTATTATAAAACTATTAATCCAACCCCATTTTCAATTTCTATAGACTTACAGGAGTTCTTGTGGAAATTACTGGAACCGTTTATTAAGATCTATTTTTATGTATAGTGAAGCAGTTTCTCTGCACAGTGGCTTTAAAAGAATTCGTTATTTTCCTGTTTTACTTTACAGCGTTCACAAAGCAGTTAGCTCTCTCTGTTTAAGTTTCCCCACTTTATGACACAGGAGTCTGACAAGATAAGAGGCCTCTGCTGTACTCCACCAGGCTGTTACGATCCAGTGGTCTCTGGTTAAAACAGCTTGAAAAGGGGAAAACACTCGACAAAGGTAAAGTACGAATGCTATTATTACCATGAAAAACGGCTGTAGTGTGCTGCCTTCAACCGTCTTGTGAGAAGCAGACTCCAGCTCCCCGGGGAGCCGGCCCCACTGTTTCCTGTGGAGTTGGGGGGTTCCGCGGATGTGGGCAGCACTCGTATGTCTCTGCCCCATGGAAGCGTGACCAGGGCCACGTGCTCGCCACTCTCAGTTCACCCGTTTTTCTCTCAATTACAGGTCTGGAAGCCCTTCGAGGGAACATTTTTGGTCTGTTTTGGAAATGCACACCAGGTGCTTCCCACTAGCTAGGCATGTTTGCTTTCTCTGGCCAGTTTCTCCATCTCTCCCTTTACGCGTAAGTTCCCCTCTCTTGAGGGGTGCAGGTGAGTCCCCGGACTCCCAGGTAGCTAGTTGAAAGTGCTGATGGCATTGAGGTCAGGACGCCCATGTTCTCTGCTGACTCAAGTGTGCGTGGAGCCGGGAGTGAGCATCAGCCTGTCTGAAAGTTGAGGACCCGGCAGGTCTACTTTTTTCCCAAAAAGGAAAGATTTACTAAAGCTGGGTGAGCAGGAGGGCTTTGGGACCTAGGGAGGCGTGGCGGTGTGAAGCGAGTGGAGAGGGCAGCTTGGCAGGGCCAGCGCGCCCCAGGGAGGATATCCGGAAAAGAAACTCACGGGCAGGAACCAGGAACGTCAGGCTCCCACGTCCCCGCCCTCGCCCAGGGCCCCCACTGATGGAGCCCCAGCAGGTCGCTTGTCTTGGGTGAGCCCGGCTGGCTTCCGGGGCCGCACTCCGCCCTGGCCAGCTGCAGAACGGAAGCCTGCGTAACCTTGGGCTTGGAAGACACAGAACCCAAAGCGGCTCAGGGATAAGAGCCAGGAGGGTTCAGGTACGCGCTTGCCCCACGCCAACCACCAACCGCGAGCAGAGCCAACGTGGGCTGGGGTCCAGCACTCACCCCCCTCTCTCGCTCCCTTCCAGCTGCTTCGGATTCGTGTCCACCTTTTTCCTCTCTGCCTCAGTCACCGCCTTTTCTCTGCCCGTTGGTCTCCTTCTGTCCCGGTACCAGGGAACTCTCCAGGCATCAGAGTAATGGCTGCTTTGGGGCAGGTTTCTTTTGTCTCCCTGAGTCACCCAGACAGGCCAGGTAAGTCAGCAAAACAAAGTGTGCTGGCCTTGACTCACCAGGTACACCCCCAGGGAAAAGATAATGTGACAGACTGCACTGGTCTCTCATCCCTGAGACCTACCCCCAGGTTCTTGGGGACAACACACAATGGCCGATGGGCACGGCCATCCTGTCTCCAAGAGGCGAGACTGTGGGAGGAAGAGGTTCACTTCTGCCAGGAGACGGGGAGGGACCCTGGACAAAAAAGCCATTGCCAATGTCCCGGGGGCAGGGCGGCCTGAGGAGTGGCCGGCCGGAGCTGCTGGGCTGGGGCAGGACTGAGTCTGCACGTCGGTGTCGCCCGCTGCTGGTCCCTGTGAGTGTACCACTGAAAGCGCCCGACACACGGCCCACCACCTGTGTGGAGAGCTACTGTTTTTAATAAATAGTTCGGCTCCCGGGGCCGACATTTCATCGTGTCCACTGACATTGAGGATACCAGCTTATTCGGACGGCACGCAATTAGGGTCAGAGTGGCGGGACCGCTGCATGAAGGTTTGATGCTTATTTATTTCCAACAGGTGGTGCTTAAAAGAAAGCTAGGAGAAAAGCCTGAGTCTCTAAGGAGACCTCCAAGGGTTCTGCTCTGAGCAGCTGTCCGTGACCGCAGTGGGGGGCCAGGGCATGGGGGTGCATTTGCCTCCAGGTCGTCAGCAAGCCATCCCAAGACGAGCGTCCAGGGGCTCAGCCCTGACTGGCCATCCAGGGACGGGGCCTCTGCCAGGGTAAGATATAAAGTCAGCGGACAATTAAGACGGGCTGACCACTGAGGCTAGAAGAGCGGGGCAGCACGCTCACTACCCAGCTCGCTGATGCCCAGATGTGAGCTAAAGGCACAGATGTTTGTGATGCAAACAAAGTGAAACAGACCTGTGCCCAGAGCGGGTGCAGCTCACCCTTCAGAGCGACAGCTGTGGTGGGATTTCTAAGCTGAGGGGCGCGGATATTGTAGAGCCTGGCCACGCGCATGCCAGAACCCCCCAGAGCGTCAGCTTAGACTCAAAACAAGGTTTGCCCTTAAAACAGGACAGCAGTAGTTTTTAAATATGGCTGGTGTGCACGGGGTCCGCCTGGCCCAGCAGGGCTCCTGAGGACGAGCGACCGTTGGATAACTGAGCCTCGTTTGGGTCCGTGTTGGCACTCCCGGCATGTGCGGCCACGGCCACGGCCACGGCCAGGGTAGAGGGAGCTGCGCTGTCACAGGGGCCCAGCTGAGCCTCCTGCTGGCCCCCAAAACCTCTGGGGCTGCCCCAAGCTCCGTGCTCCCCTAAGGACCCAGGTCTCTGCCTGAGTCTCCTCAACAGCCAGTGCTGAGGCTGTTGATGGCAGAGATGGGCCACGAGGCACATCCTGGCTCCTGTCACACAGGAACTGGGCACAGGGTCCCCGGATGGGTGAGCGAGAGGATGGGGTGGGAAGAGCCCACAGGCGGGGGGAACAGGGCCGGCGTGCTTTGGGAGGCACGACAGTGTCCGAGTCTGTGTCAGAGACGTGATGACCAGAGAGACCGACACTGCGAATGCATGTGGAAGCACCACCGGTCCATCGCCGTCTGGGCCCGGGCTGGGGCCGGGAGCAGGTCCACGTGCTCTTTCTCCTTCTAACCCCAGCCCTGTTCCTGGGCCAGCATCACCCCCCTGCTGGCTCCCCTGCTCCACAAACCTATGGGGACACCGTTCACGGCCATGGACGGACAGACAGAGTGACTGCCGTCCTGTAACTCAGCTGAGAAAGGCAACCACCCGGCGATTTCAATATTCATCGTCAGGCCAGTTATAGCGACAGCCTCCACTCACTCATCTATCTTTTCTTGACTTCATTCCAAACCTGGGCATCAAATTTTCACAGCGTCCTGTCCTGACCTCCAGCCTCCACCAGCCTCCCCAGAAAACTTTCCCGAGGTGGCTTCCTGTGGGACCTGCCAGCCAATGAAATGCGGCCCTGTTCGTCTTGCTCAAGGGGCGGTTTTGCTGGTCCATCATCCCCTCTGCGTCGGTCAGAGGCTCCCAGACAAACGGGCCAGCACCGAGTGACACTGGGAGGCTGCACCCAGTGTCAGCGTCACCTCCTCCAGACACAGCTTCCTTACCTGTTGGATGATCAGACCCAAAACACAGACGTGATGAAGCTGAAAGAACTGGGGCCACGGCAGACATGCAGTAAACGCATTGAATGACCGACGTGTTTCAGATGCAACCCTTCTATTTCGAGGGGTAACTAGGCAATATTCAGAAAGCAAAACTTTCACTCAAGAATACTACGTTTTGGTGCTTCATACCCATCTCTATAGATGGCTCGAGTTGTCCTTTTCAAATGCTGGTGTCCTGGGCCCCTGGGGTTTGTCCCAGTTCTGTGGTCTGGGACAGTGTTCTTCCAGAAAGTTTCTAAGGCTCCAAGAGTTTCCCATCCCGAGTGCCACTCCGGACACATTTGGAGAAGCCCTCCCCAGTGAAGGAGCTAATTACCAGTCGCCTGGCATGAAAGAGCCTGCTGCGAGCTGCTGGGTGCTGCCCCGGGACAGGTGCTCAGATGTGTTACCTTTGCATTCTGGCCTCCGTGACACCCCATCACACAGGTAGGAAAACAGAGGCACAAGCGCACCTGAGTGAACAGGTCCAAGGCCGTAGTCAGCAGAACTGGGGTTTAAATTGTAATTTGTCACTTAAGCGTTCCGTTGTAGCAGCTGGACTGACCCGTCCTGTGAGCACGGATCCCCATGACACCCAGCTCCATCAAACTTTATGTGCTGTTGCTTTCCCCACACTGTGCTGCAAAAATCGCCTCCGTTGCGTTTCCTGTGCCAGAAAGGCCCTGTTTTGAACCATGTGCGTTTTCTCCCTGGTGCGCAGGGGACGCGGGCTCTCCCCTGTGTGCTGCCTCCCTTCCTGCTTCATACACATTAAACCTTTGTCTTCCAAATACGTTAGACATATTTTTGCACTGGTCATTTGTCTTTGTTCAAAGAAATCTGGTATTATCTTTTACTATCAAAATGATACATGGACAATATAAAAACTCCAGAAACTAAGACAAAAAGAAAATAAAAATCACCCACCATCTTGTTATAAGCAAAAACATCAGTTAACATTTAAATGTGTTTTCCAGTCATTTTTTTCTGTGAATAAAATTATGCATTTTGTTTTTCAAAATCGGGATCATATGGGACATGCTGCTTGCAATTCGATTTTTTTTTATTCACTAAGAGTTTTCTGTCACCAGGTGTTTCTTCAGGGTGCTGTTTTTTCATGGGTGATAAGAGCACCGCGGTCCCTGCATGGTGTCCTGGGGCTGCTATAACCAAGTGCGCACCCTGGGCAGCCGAAATGGGACAAACGAAATGGGTCCTCTCCCAGCCCTGGAGGCCAGCTGTCTGAAGTGAGGTGTCGACAGGGCTGCCCCCTCGGAGGCCGGGTGTGGCCCTTTCTGCCTCTCCGTGGAGTCTGGAAGAACCACAGTCCTTGGAGGTCCTCGGCTGGTAGACGCACCCCTCCCGGCACTGCTCCGGGGTCCCGTGTCCTGCTCCCTGTGTCTCTTCCTCTCCTTCTGGGGTCACCAGTTATATTGGGTTAATCGGTGCCCACCCTACTCCAGTGTGACCTCGTCTCAACTCTAATATTACATCTGCAATGACCTTGTTTCCAGGTAAGGCCACATAGTGCTGTGCTGGGGTTAGGACCTCAACACATCGTTTTTTGGGAGACACAATCCAACCCATCACAATTTCTTTGTACTGCCCCTTCCTGTTTCACATTAAAACTGCTCCTAGCTTTTTTCTTTGATCAGTTGTTTCAGTTGCCCACCATCTGGGCACATTTACGACCACCTCCTCAGGGTTACAGGCCACATCCTCCGTCCTTCCCGAAAGGTCCCAAAGGAGACAGCACTGCCGTTGTTGAGGGTTCCACCCTCAGCTTCCAGCCTCCCGTGACCAGTCACTGTCCCAGGATGGGCTTGCAAAGACCCACGGGGGAGGTTTGACCCTGAGGTCATGCCAAGGACAGAACCCAATGTGCACAACACAATTTCAAATGTTCCATAAGAGAGCGACATGTCGGGGCACCATGGCCCAGCCACGTTGACACATAAAATGAACCGTCACAGACAGATGATGCAGCTGTCACCAGGACCTTGTCCCAGAATCCGCAGTCCCCAACCCCTCTCTGCAGAGAGGCTAAGGCAGAGCCCCCGCCGCAGTGGCAGCAGCAGCCCTGGGCCTGCGGGCTGGGTGGTCAGAGCGTGTGGTGACTCCTGACCCACGTTTGCGCACAGCAGCCAGTGAGCGCGAGCCCAGCCCACAGAGGACATGTGCAGGGGTTTCCACCGCGCAGCCGTCCTTGCAGCCCCTTCCCAATGGCCCTGCCATGTCTCCACACACGGAGACTGTTCGTCCTGGGAGCACGAGCATCTTTGTGTCCCCCAACCATGGCCAGGATACTGCTCAGAGCAAATACCTGCCAACAGCCCATCGAGGTGACAGGGCCGCCATTGAAAGCACCCCGACCTCTGCACCAGTCCCACTGCCCACCCCCCAAGTCACCAGACCTAATGCTGTGGGATTTGTCTGAGGGACCAGGGATGACGCTGAATGTGCTGGGGCTGGATGTCATTAAATAGCACCAAGGTGGTCCCAGGAGTTAAAACGCCATCTTCTGTGGCAACGCTAACACGCAGCAGAAGAGGGGACCGTCTAGGTGAAAACAACCCTTACAGCCCCACCCCACAGGGCTGGGAGGTTGTCGGGGGATTTAAACTTACTGAATATTTACATAATGCAAAGCTGACTGGCTTTCATTTTCTTCCCCACAACAGGCTGAGTCACAAACCAGACTCAGGGTGACTCTTCTGATCTTGCAGAGATGGCTGGAGCAGGTCCTTGTGCCAGCGGCCGGCCGTACCATGAGGCTGCATGAGGCCGCGGGACATAAACGAGCTTCCTGGGAATGAGGTACCTCGTTATCCAGCCACAGGAGGGCCGGCGTGTGGAAGCCCAGCCTGCAGCTCCCTGAGCCTCCCGTGTGCGGTGAGTGCCTTCCCCTGCACGCACGTGGCTGGTGAAAATGCCACAGAGGGGGGGGCACAGCCCTCCTCCACCCGCCAGGCCCCCGGCTGCAGCACGCCCGTCCATGGCCACTCTTCACCACTCAGTAACACGGATTTAAAACCATGTCTTTCCCAGCTAATAAAACATCCTGCACCAAAAAGCTCTCTCAAGGGACCCGTGAGGGCCCTAAGCCTTGGGCTTTTATTACCTTTTCTGAGGCTGGGAAGGCAGTCAGCGCACCCCCCGACCAGGGCAGGGGTCCCCAGGGACAATGAGGGCCTCCCCCGCCGGACACAAAGCCATACTAAGTGCAGGAGCTGCCGGGAAGCGTGTCTGCAGGGCGGGCAGCAGGTCCAGGGAGACAAGCCCTGAGGGCTGGAAGGCCCCACGCTGACACAGCCCCGGGGTTTGGTCCATTGTCTGCCCAACTGCCCACCCCCACACTCCCCAAAATAAAGGAAATCGGGTCGACACAGTGGTGGTGTACTTGGCAAGATCTCGCTTGCTGTGGAGGAAGGTAATTTGCTACATAAATAATGAATTAGATGTGTGTTGACGTGGAATTCGTTCTTGAAATGGTTTCCAGAGCAGTTGTGTGACTCCAGGTCACCGTGGGCTGTCAGTTCCCAGAGTCGCCTGGACAGATGTGTTCAAGGTTCTGTGACCCTCCACCTCGGTGGCGTTTCTTCATGGGGTCTCTCTAATTCCATCCAGGGCTGGGTGGGAATCCCAAAGCATTGAAGATGTGGGAAAATCCTTTTTAAATGGTGACGGCATCCGAAGCACTCAGCCCTGCAGTCAGGATGTCAGGTGTGACTTTTCTCACTGGGATTGTGAAGGCTCCCCGACATCCATGCGGAGACGGTCCCTGTTCTCTCTTTCCCTTTCCTGAGCCCACCCCATTCACACGACCAGGCAAGCTGTGTTGCCGGTGACAGAGTTCAAGACAGAGCGAGGGGTTGGCGAGACTGGTGAAGTGTGTGCGCTCGTCACCCGGCCAGGACAATGGGGAGGCACAGGGCGAGTCCCAGAAGGAGCCACACTGTCCCCGCCGCTGGTGCGTGTCCTGCCGGCACTGAGGACCTGAGAGGAGACTCGGGAGGCTGAGCTGAGCCCAGGCGCTGTCGG